CACTACTTGTGTTATTGATGCACACGAAGGTAGAGATGTAATGACGATGGATATAATGATGATGGACGTGTCTAACGCTTTCATTCAAACTTATATGCCTGAAGCTAAGGAAGGAGAAGATCGCTTCTACATGAAAATCACTGGCATGATGGTCCAGATATCGATTGACATGGCCCCAGAGTATTGCAAATACGTTGTATTAGAGAACGGAAAGCGAGTAGTATAGGAACTTGTGAATGGTTATTGCGAGAGGACACTGCAAGTCCAACTGCTTTGCAACATCAGCTTTCAAACAATGTGGATTGTTGCATTCTTCTTGCCGAATTCATAACTCTGTTGCTTGTTCTTCAAAGACTACTGTATCAAGCTTGTTCTCTAAAGACTACTGTATCAAGCAGGTAACGGCAAATTTATTGATACCTTCTTGTCTTCTTTGCTGCGGTATTGAATGCAAATGATTTGACCGACCATTGAAAAGGCAAAACATTCCGAATCTTGTTTAAGCAGTGCAGTAGCAAGATAATTTTCCACTCTGCTTTCGCTTTCTAGTGGATTGTTGGATTGCTTCATTCTAATCAATCGGCACCTACTCAAATCAAGAGCGCCAATGCAGATTTGTTGGAACTCATAGCTTCTTCATTGATGCCCCTGATGCACACAATGTTATGTTTCTGGCTCCTGGCTGTTTTGCATTGTGGCTATTTAGCGTCTGTTGTGGTCAGTGTCGTGTGCTGTCCTGCTCCATTGCTCTTGTTGCTTGTTGGAGGCTCATGATTGAAGTGTTGTCGATGGAAACAATGATGATGACACGCACCATGTATGATACAATGCTTGAAACTAGCTCCCGTCAAAAATGGTACCAAAACAGACAAAAAATGCCTCTGCTACAGTCATTTCCAGGTTGCTTAGCGCCTCTATTTTTTGAAATCAATTATTAGTCGTCTGATCTTTGACCTTTGGTTATTCCAAGCAGAAATATGCCCCATCGTAGGGGTAGTATGAAAACTATGACGATTTTCAAATATGCATCAACTATTTTATGGAATACCTGCCAAGAAAACAGCCCCCGGTGGAGAAACACGACACCCCCAAGTCTTCCCCAAATATAATCTACCGGTATCTCTTGTTCTTCAGCAATCATAATGAGAATTGACACTTCTGAAAAAGCCTTCTTCCACCTTGGGCTTGCAAACTGCCTTCATACTCCATCACGAATCAGTAGCACCTGCAAGGTAACTATTTGTTGATTGTTGTAGCTTCCATCGCTAAACATTTTTGTTCATGGCTGTGCAAATGTAGTTGTTGGGGCACCCTGCTCCTACAGTATAGCACCAAAGTCTTGTATTTGATCACGAGCAGCCTGCAAAAATATTGGCAACCACCCATCTTTCTCCTTCAAATATGAGCTCCTAAAATTTGTCCCCCAATGTTTTCTTTCCCCTGATGAACCTTTTGGCTCCAATTTCCGAATGGAGAAATAGAAACTTTTTTCTCCATCATGGAGAAATAAAGTTTTTTTTTCTCCATCATGGAGAAATAGATTTGTGCATTTGTGGATTCCAGATTCCACATCACCGGGCGACGACGATGCAGTGCCTGCGTCGCCACTTTGGATTGTATCCAAATTCGGGTCGAGCTTTTTTCATTTCATGCAGGTGGCATGGCCGTTATTTTGTATAACGATTTGTTGGGCCAAGCAACCTGCTTGAGAAGCGATGACACCCCATCTGTCCCCTTGCCCCTATTTATGAAAATTATGCGCTCAAGCCTGTGTTTGTTAAACATATCTGCCGCACAAAATAATGATCTGAATAATATTCAGGGGAGGAAAGGTTGCCCCTTTTAATTAACCAACATTTCGAGTTGGTCAATTGTATCAAGCATCTGGCAGTCGCCCGCAAAGCAAAATTTGCGGTGGGTCCTGTGGAAATCGGGCATGGATGGCCCCTGCCCCCAGGGTGAATTGGGGAAAAGGCATGATCTCAATTGGTCCAGAAGGTCGTATTGAGAAAAATAATTAGGGATATCAAAGAAAAGACATAGTACTTCATACGTAGATCTCACAACGATTGTAGGATGACTACCACACGCGTAGAATTGTGACAGGATTCAAAAAAAATTGAAACTCAGTAAACTATGAAAAACTCAAGTTCCAATGACATCATCAAGCAACCAACACTCACTGCATGACAAAGGAGGGGGAACATCCACTTCTGGCAAGAAAGGAAGTGGTGAGACTGTTCATCCGCAGGTAGAAGTCCAGCATCACTGGCACCTGTTCCTATTGTAGGCAATCCATAGCCGACGTAGATTTGAGCTCAGTATACTCCAGAGGTAGCTAGAGCATTGAGGCTCTCATTACAGCTACAGAGTTGATTATCTGACAATCCGTTTGCAAAACAAAAACGAACGCATCCGTTGCCTCTGCCACAGGTGCACTACAATGTCATGATGATGAAGCACAAAATGCTCAGAAGCCAAAAACAACAATGGGTGTTCAAAGCCATGTACAAATTCTACCAACAAAGAAGACTAAAACTTGGTCGTCTCCGGCCAAGAGGAGAAAGAAAGTGAACCCAAGGATCAAAATGAGCGGGCTGTTGATGACATAAGCAAAAATGCATTCAATCCTTTGGAAGACTGTGCAATCTGCCATGCAAAAGAAAATGATCTCCGTGTTCCACATCGACCCCATGACATCCGTTGCCCAGGGCTTTTGAAAAATAGTCAAGGAGAAACAAAGTATGAAAAAGATCTTAGGAACTACTTCAACTCCCCAATGGAAAATCCAGAGAAGGAAGAAGAGCTTACTGGAGGTGGGACCCCAAGCGTGCAATTGTACTGTTCTGGGCCGACTATGACAAGAAGAAGGAAGGCTCTCACTGCTGGAAAACTTCCTGCACAGGCTCCAGCCACCATGGTTCAAAATAGGAACGCATCTGAAGAAATTCTCGCTCCAAATTGCTCACCAGTGGAGGTTGTGAAGTTCTTGGAAAGCCGTGTTGCAACAAGGCTTCAAGGAAATGAGGCACTGTCAGAGCATAAGGCTCCTCCTGCCATGTTGGCGCTGGCACAGGAGATCATGGAGCAGGTGGTGAATTCAAAACCTACTCGTCTATCTGAGTCCCTACAGTCCAAACCAAAATTCTCAAACACGCAGTAGAAATACGTAAGAATAGTAGTCCACGTCACATAACAGGTCTAAGAAAGTACTTTGGCAAACTCCCCGTGTCATCGTGCAATTTCGTGGGTTTTGTACCAATCCATCAGAACAACAAATCGTCAATTTCATCATCAACCTTCCGACCCCTTGTTGACATCAACAAAACATCGGGCATCTCCACTTTTTTGCACAATTCGCTTCCTAACACATCACACTAGTATAATATCGAAAAAAGTGGAGATGCGAGATGAATCCAAACGGTCAAAATCCACCAAAAAGTATGATGAATTTGATTTCACTACGATGGTAAGCTTTGAGGCACTTGCAGTTATCACCGACTGCAAGAAAATTGATGCACAGCTGACAGTAGTTGTATCTTTACATAAGCTATCCTGTTTCTATGACGTGATCTGGCCTCGTTTTTTCTTTGGTTCCCAAAATGACCACTGAAGCCAACCATCAACGTCCAAAATGAAGAATTATTATGGTTTTGGGAGCCCACGAAGTCTCAAGGCACCAAGTACTTGAAAATTCCAGCAGAGGTTGCTTCTGGCGTTATAATGGAGGTCTTGGAATCATCTGGTGGTCGATATCAAGGTTTCATTGTGCATATTCTCCATCGAGTTCATCAAGTGGCAAAATTTGTCAAAAACACATCGATGCCATGGCATGGGCCCCACAAGAAGAATAGGTGGATTCAGATGCTACGGCAGGCACTTTTGATATTTATACTACGCCATGAGCCATGATTCAATTTAGGTGTTACCCCAATCATGCCACAATCAACAAGCGTTGTTAGAATTGTTTCGGCCAGCCTGCCCTTTGGGGTCCACAGAGGGCCACACATGCAGAGATCGCCGAGCTTCAAGGTATATTATGGTATATTGGTATCTGATACAACGACAGAGCATTATTGGTTCACTTTCTTTGTTTAATTTGGAAAGATTTTGCGATTTCCTTCCTTTGTTCTGTCGGTTCTCTGCCGCTCTGGAGGTCCCCCTGGCCGCCATTTAGACAGCTATCCATCCAACAACACACCAGGGTCTTTCTTGGATGCCTAAAGTTTAGATTTTTTGGGACCAAGGCAATGATTCCTCCTAGATCAAGAATCATGTGGCCAAACTGGTGTCAAAAAGAATGTAAGTTTGTTGAAATTTCTGGAATCGTCGAATTGTTGACCTAATTTCCTCAATCTTCTTTATTCTGGCCCATTTTATTAGTCCATGGGTACATCTAACAAGGTTTGGCACCTTGGAATGGGAGATTTCAAGGTGGAAGTGATTGAGCTGTAGCTACTTGACCTGGGGGGTCAATTCGGCATTCAATCCAGAATTTTCCAGGAATGTGTCCCAGTCGCCGTGTCGGTAACCAGACACGGTAGGACCACTACAAAAGTGACCAATATACCTATATGTATCGACTTTGGGTGTTTTTTTTCAATGATGCGGCAGAAATGAGATTTGTTGGTCTGGTTTTCTGTTGACCCGTCCCAACATTGCAGGAGCCCTGATTGAATGATTCGAAATTCCATGTATTCTAGACCAAAATTTGCAACTTTTGTTGCGTATACCACTAGTTTATGTAGATTAGGCAATAATACATATTAAAATATCAAGATTTGTAATCAAGACCAGGTCTTATCGTAAAGATGGAGGCCTTGCCTCTTGTAGTATAATTTCGGTTGGATGTGTAGTCGACAAGTCAAACTGGTATCCGACTCGATCGATCATAGCGTTCTCTACCACGGCAACGGATTTTCCACAATATCCAGTCTGATCTTGGTTTGGACTGTACCTGACACACCTAAATTCAACCTAGCATGTGATAGGTTCCATGCAATCTTTGGAAAGAACAATTTTGTTTACACCGTTCCAAATATCTACACTTCTGAAAGTCCAATTGATCCAAACTTCCACTCTCTTGTGGGGTCCCAATTCATCTACATGGACTTGGAACTTGCATTTCCAGACTTTTGTATGCTTTGTTGCAACTCCAAATCCAAGGATTCACTCGGAAACGTGACTGTTACAGAATTGCAGAAGGTGGTTCGAACATATACGCCATCCGATCAAGATTGCCAGGACCTATACATGCGAGCACAGGATTCGACTCCCAACCCAGAAGGAATGGCAAATTATTCAAGCAACAACAACTGATGAGCTTCTTGCAATCAATCATACCTTTGAGACTCTGAAAAAAACTATAGACTAGAAGGTGGCAAAGCTATTTTTACTGTCTTGAATCATTGTTCCAACACAGAAGCTTTGTGAAATTGATCACATGCTGAACAAGTTACTGAATTGGAAATGGATGGACTTCAACGATTGCAAACCCCGCGGACTCTACACTGATACATGGCCAAACAGCAAGGACTACTGGGAGAAACGCCTTAGTAAACACAGAAGGAGCATTGGGTCTGTTCCATTTTAATCAGCGACTCATGAAGCATCTAAATTCGCAGCCCAAACGTTTCTACCGGATCAAAGACAGATTCCAAAGGGCAATCTATAATTATAACCAAGATGATCTGAGTGCGTTGACGAATGCATTCAAGGATGGACATATCAAGGATAAAAATGGAGAAACATACACTCAAGAAGGATTGGATGAATTAAGACTCTCAAAAAACTGGAAAAGGAACTACACCAAATACCTAAGAAAGGACATTCCAAATGGAGACCAAGTTGACAGAAACTTGAATGATTTTGAAGCCTGGCTTCTAGACTGTCTCAAGGCGATTCCACAAGCTGAAGACCTCGTCACGTCTTCTCTACAGAAGTTCAGAGAGCAACTCGCAAATAATCGACAACCACATCCAAGATCCAGAAGGTATTGAGATGTACAGTGGCGTCCAACCAGGGAAGAAGGCACTCATTAAATTTGTCAAATGGCTTTCCAAATGTCCAGAGAGCTTGATTGAAATGTTCCAAGGTCTTGGTCTTGCGCCAATACTGGAATGCGGCCAGAAATGGCAGATTCCCTAACTCTGCAAGGTGCTGCAGAATATAACTTGCAAAGGGAGCACAAGTTTAAGCAGATGGAGAACAATTACACTGAAGTTGATTGTTGTTGGGAGCATGTACCTTGATACTGTCAGGATCAACCTCTGTACTCCAATCCTGCCTGTCTTCATCAAGTAAATGAGCTCGCAAAAGGAACAAATAAAGAGCCACCATTTCCGCACATCAAAGTGATGGCAAAGAACAATGGTGAAGTCTTCTTGTCAAAGTATTTCAAACGACAAACTGAAAGGAACGAACTTTGAAAACCACTAGATGGAGGGTTCTGCAGTTGCAAGGAGTGTGAATCGTGCGCAATCCAATTTGATACTGTCGCAAGTCCACAAAGAGAGAATACAATTGCTGGCAAGAACAATGCGGTACAATCGGTAAGAAAATCTGAATTGCCATCTTGGCGGTTTTCCATTTGAACCATTCTTCAAATGCGCTCACCTTTCTTTCAATCTAAACTTAAAAAGAATGCACCACTTTCCCATCCACAGCAATGTCCAGCGCCAGGAAGATTGCTGTCGGCTCCAAATCTCATCGTCCAAGTCCCACCAACCTTGCAGCACTCATTTGCGTCTCCTCCATTCTTGAATCTACCACAAGTCGGGATCAATCTTCAGAATGCTGCCTTCGGAGCATACCAGCAAATGTTCCATCTTCTTCCATTTCCGACGCCCAATCCAACGGTTCCACTCCAATTGTTTCATTCGTCTCCAAGCCCGAATTTGACTCCAGCGTTTTGTTGTCGACCGTATGTGGAATACAAAAATTACAAAACCATTACCGGCAGGAAGAAAGCGGGACGCATTCCACACGCACCCCAGTGCCCGACAAAACAGTGGAAATTGATGTAGGTAGAGTAAATGTTCAGAAAAAAGTAGTTTGAATGTCATATCAGTATTCGTCAGTTGATTGATTGATACCTGCATTTGTTGAACATGAAAATGACTGCAATATTTTTGCGTCATTTTTATCAAAATCTCGGTGCGCATCGGATTGACTGAAATCAATCTATGACTTTTGATATCGTTATCTAATTTTATTGAAATTCATATCTATTTTTATCAAGATGGTACAGTGAAATTGCAAATTGGAATTGTTTTGATTGGTTGATTCAGTTTTCCCCCATATAGCTTCCCCCTGGATGTTGTCATTTGATTTGTTTATGATATCGGAAGAACTTTGTCAATCAATCTTGCTAAGAATTTTCCCGATGAAACAAGCGCGTTAACCGTTTCCTGGTCAGACAATACAAATCAATACATTTTGTAGAAACTCGTAGTACAAACTCTACGTAGTCAAATTAGTCAAACTGATTTATCTAAATAGGAAGGTCCAGGAACACACAGGCAAATGTTCAGACCGAGTATTTTCGGGACACTGATCACAAAGTTTGAGGTGCTCGTGCCCGGAGATAAAAAATTATATTTTTAGCTTCGAAAAATCTATATTATTTCCCTTTAACTATTAATGACATATTATTATGTGATGATTTATCAAATGGACACAGATGACCGATTAATCATTGTGACTTTTTCTGAGTTATAACTCAGATCACAACGGAATCCTGAGTTATAACTCACGGCGTTGAGTTATAACTCAAACGTGTGAGTACGTGTACATGTGAGTTATAATTCAAACGTGTGAGTTATAACTCAAACGTGTGAGTTTTTACTCAAACGTGTGAGTTTTTACTCAAACGTGTGAGTTATAACTCAAACGTACTCAGAAAATGTCAGGGGGATGATGTTCTCCAATGGGGGAAGGGCAGCTTCAAGCGAGATGACTCCAAAGAAAACCATGAGTAGCTTCGCCATGAAACTTTTAATCGTCGATTGAAGTGCTTTTTATTATTTTGGACGACACGTGCAAATATTCGAGAGACAAACATCAAAAATGTGTCCTTGCAGTTGTTGGAACAGTCCAATTCAAAATGAATAACGGTCACCCTCTCTTTGAAATAGGATAATTTACCACATATCTAATACAATTTTATTACTACTTGCTAGTCCTCAGACATCGGCGATTCTTCCTCCTGCTTCTTTGTTTCCTCCTCCTTTTGACCATTGCTACTTTCATACGTTGTTCATAGAGCAACAAGTTTTCTTTCTTTTTCTCTTTCTTTTCTTCCTTCTTCAACTTCGCCAGCTTCTTCATTCTTTTATCCTCCAGACAGTTGCGTACTTATGAAATCTAATTTCTTGTTGAATCCGCTCTCTGAATTTTCGTTTTTTGAATAGTCATAAGCTTGGGAATTGACTTGAACACCATTTGATGATAGTGTGCTCGGAATAATCCTTTCAATGTTTGATTGCTGCGCTCAATAGTTGGTTTGTGTTTGCCCAGCACGGCATAATTCAGGGTCACATTCATGTTATCTTTCACGTCATCAAATACCGGTTTGAATTTGTTGTCGCAATAAATAGTTTTCATTCCAAATTCCGCATGATTATAAACGAAAAAATTTGTCAATCGACTTGTAAATAGCATCTTTCGTCCGATCTTTCAGTTCAGTACTGAATCGGAATTTGATCGCTTTGTCAATGCTGACAAAAAACGCGACATTGTTGATAAACATAATGTCGATGCATAAATCCAGGTTCGAATTGTGTTTCAGTAGTTCCTTGGGCATTTCGATCCAATCATCAACCACCGCCTTTGGTGTTGGTCGCTTTTGTTTGCCCTTAATTGTTGAAACGCTCGGTCCATATATCTTTTCAGAGATATTAACATCTTCCTCTGTAATTTTCCCCAAATTGCCAACTTGAATAGTTCTGCACCAGGTGCTCCCATCATCTGATAGCCACTTTGTGCAACATTTGCTCGTTTCACTTGTTTGTTTGTGAAACCCTCTTTGTTCTTCTCCACACTCTGTAGAGCACAGTACCCTTCCATATCATCATTTAAATTATTAGGTACTATGTGGATTTGATCTAGTTCCATGCCAGCAGGAACTTCATCAAATATAAATCCTCTTCCATCCGTCCATTCGTGAAAATCTTTAGCAAATGTATCCGGTGGTCTAGCAAAGATATCTAAGTCATCGAAATCCCATCGTCAGTCTTTAGCCAGTTCATAACACCATTGAGCAAATTTTGTCCATTTCCATAAATCATAATATTCATTCATTGGTTCTCCTATATTAATCCTATCACGCTGTAGGATGAATGCCATTCCTTTGTATCTTTCAATTTCAATATCAAAACGTGGGTCTACTCCAGCATTGTCAATTCCAAGTGCATGATTATGGAACATTGCTGTTGCCACAGCAGGTTCGTCCACCAGAGTATATAATCCATTGTGATGTCCAAATCGCCATGTAGTCCCGTTTCTGGTCACAAAGAAGCTGTTCTCTATCTTTGTGTCCATAAATACATCAAATGTTTCCTCTAGTCAGAGGATGAAACTTCTTCTCTTTTTTGCTACCATTGCCACTCTCATTTCCATTGTAGTTACCATTACCTTGGCCTTGCTGCGATCTTCCTTGTCCAGCATTTCTTCCATTGGAACCATGTCCAGTATTCTGAAATTGTCCACTCATCATGAGCAAGTTCTTATTCTTTCAAGTCGTAGGAATATATTGACTCCCAATTCAATTCAGTGACTTTTTATAATATATGTTAGAAGTAAGTGATCCACTGCCGCCTGCAATCTACCTGTTCAATTGACTGCGATTTAGCTGTCCAGGTATTGTTGCCTTCTAAGTATATGAATTTACGGTATATAGAACTATATAGATCTATCAGAGATCCTACTTTATCAACCAATTCACTCGTTGCTTGCAATATATTATAAAAAGTGAGAACAGTCTGTCAACTTTTGACTTTGACTCTTTCTTCTCCAGCTCAGTGGAAATTCTCAGAATTCTCTCTATGTCAGCCTGACATGCTGCAAGTTCAATCTGTTTATCCGTTCATCTTCCACAGTAGTCCGTACTTTGATTAGTATCCAACTTTGGTTCTTGCTTGAATCTTACTTTCTTAAATCATCAACATGATGATTTCCATAGAAATAAATTGTCTTTTCTGACTTGCCACGCGCGACATTTTTAGTCGTATCAGTCTTCATTTTTAGTCGTATCAGTTAACATCATTTCTCTATCGTTCACATGTATTCTCTTTTTCTCGTTTCTCCAAATATGTACTTTGAAAATCCTAATATATCCAACAGACTACTCCTTTGTTTGTGAGTGTCTTCCTCAAAGTTGTGGCCCATGCAACATATGTCAATTTGTTCTTCTATTGAGCTTTGACTTGTCTACCTTTTTGTTGTTGCTGGTTGCCTTGTCTGCGGCTCTGTTGCATTCCCTTGCCAATTTTCTCCTGTTGGGATTGGTAGCGTTGTGAATGGCTTGATGGATCTGCTGACTATTGCTGTCAAGTGTTTCTTAGCATGTTTTGGTCTTGCGTACATTGTCAAGAATTTGTCTTCTGTTTTTGTCCAAAAGGTATTGTCACTGTATGTTTTTGCACATGCTGTACATGAATACTTGCTGTCATATCTGGTGTGGTGCCATGCTCTTCATTGTTTCTTTTGTCTTGCTCCAACTGAGTTTCTCCGCAAACAGCAGATTTCTGCTATAAACAGCAGTTTTCTGCTATCCTCTTTTGTGAAACCAAACAGGCTGAGGGCTTCCCAAGGTCTGATTGTTCTGACCGGTGATGTTACCTCTGTGTTGTTGGTTGCAATTGATATTGTGCCTTGCAGTGGGGGCTCTTTTGGTGGTGTCATAGATCCCGTGTTCTTGTGTGTATCCTTGTGAGTTCTTGACTGTGGAGACTCTGTTTTCTCCTTGTCTCGTCATGTTGAAATATCCTGTGTAATTTTGTTTGGTGCATCCATGGCATTTTCAATTGTTCCTGGCTGTAAGTATGGGCCTTCAACATCTAAAGTTCTGCTCCATGCCTTTATAACTCTTCTTCCGGTTCTGAGTATGATGCTGTGTTTGGTGTCATCTCTGCTTGTGCTGTGCTATCGCTGGTTGTGTGTGAAATGGTTTGTAGGTTGGTCCTGTCTCTTGTTTCTTTTTTGATGTATTGTTCCCATTCTTCAATGACCTTGTCAGTTGATTTTCTTGTCCACATGAGTATGCATTGGGTTGATCAGTGTCGTTGCTTTTTGGATGATGGTGCAAAGGGCATGGTGATGGCCAAACCAAAGCCCGGAGAATGCACAAAAGAAGAGGAAACAGAACAAAATGGCTCATAGGAAAAGAATTTACATGGATCATGGACTGGAGCGGACTGGACTGACCAAGTTCTTTGAAGGCAAAGACGACATTACACACACGCTGCAACGATGGAAGCTAGAGCTATTGACATTTGTCTTCACCATAGTTCACAGACCAGCAAAGATGCTCACGGAATGTGACCTCCTGTCAAGATATGAGGGCATACTAAGCATGTCAAGGAATACGGAAGAAGCCCACACAGACAACCAGATCATTGCTGTGGCATAGAAACTAAGGAAGATGAAGCACCGTCCTGGCCCAGACAACATCTACTACCCACAGTGAAAGCTGACCTGATTACAACAAGAGCAGAACTAGTGCAAATATGCGACACAGTAAGAGCAACATGGATCATTGGAAGATCCCTAGACACCATTTTGGACAGCTTCAAACTACTTGGAGGAATCATCATGCTAACAGCTAGCACCAGCGAGGAGGAATACTGTCAACTACAACACAACATACCAAACATTGAAACCTTTGCCAAAAGGCTTGTCAACACAGTACAACCGCCAGCAGAATGGTTCATTGTAACCAACATACTCAATAGCTCCCACAGTGCATCAATGACTTTAGACAATGATTCTAGTGGCCCTGTACTGCAGAAGCAGATGGTAAGCATGACGATCAATAGTAAATGGAAAACAAGCATCAGTTGAAAACTTACAAACCTGTCCATCAATTTTAGTTCCAACCATCAGATATGCCTCAACCATGACCCAATCGCTCCCACTAGTGCATCAATGAATTGAGACAATTATTCTAGTGGATTTGTACTGCTTCCGCAGATGGTAAATAGAGAATGACAAGCATCTTTGACGCATCAGCTGAAAATTAGCGAAACTGCCCATCAATCCATATTTTTCCTATGCTTCGGTTGATTGTAGAATGGCAAATGCCAGTGTTGAATGCCATATAGTATCACCTGTATCAGAAATGAGTCAATGTCAACAGAGCATCATTCAACCTTTGGACTTCAGATGGATGGAAGGCGTTGACTGGTGACTTGGGACATCGAACTGAAATGAATCCGCAAAAAGAAACACTCCTGCGCCAACCAACGCGTATTCCAGTTCCATGAGCAGAGCAATCTTTCCATGGTTCTTGTATCGTCAGACTTGACGCTGTTCCCATTCTTTCTTGTCGAGTCCTTTTGCGGTTTTTGTGCCTTTTAGATCTATTGGGGAGGTTGAAGAAACCAATGGCTTAGAGACCACTCTATAGGGACAGTGCAGAGAAGTTTGGGCTGTTTGGATTTCGGACAACAATGATCATAATGAATAATTGACAAAAGATAGGTGTGCAATTGGATGGCTTGTTGACTACTGTAATAGTGCTGTGCCGGGCTATACGTAACATTGCATGCGGATCAACCAAAAAATGGTTTTTGGGGTGGGTTATGGCGCACCTGTGGTTGGTGAGAAGCCTTGGAGTTGGAAAAACAAAGGATATATATTGTATTGTGATTTGCTGATTTCGTGGCGTTAAGGATTGTTATTTTTTTTCCAAAAAAACAACAACACCCAAACCCTCTAGTTCACAAGATAGCGTCGTTTGTATTCAATACCCAAGCAAACAAGACAAGAAAGGTGTCGATAGCTTTGTCTTTATCTGCTTGTTATTCTGATGCAAGTAGTTTGTGTGAATTCGGTGAAAAAGTCCTCATTTATGCCCCAAAAGGGTCCATTTTCATCACCAATTCATTATCATTGACCGATTGACAATGACGGTGCGGTCAATTCGCCTTTCGATGACATCGCAACGGTGCCAATCCCATCTTTATGATATGAGTGAAGACTTGGCAAAGTTTCTTTGTCGTTGTACTTGCGGTTGTGGTGTTGGAGCTGCTTGATGTTTCGGTATTTTCAACGCCGAATCTCACCTATTGTTTCGTTTCTCATGTTACAGCATGCCGACGAGATCTTCAAAACGTGTTGCTCAAAAGAAGATAGCGCTTTGAGTCTCCTCTTTTTCCTCTGAAAGTGATACTGTGGAGTCGTTAGGACAAAGGGCACCCAAACGAGCAAAAAGAGCTCCTTTAGTGGTTGCGCCATACTTTGTCGTCCGACTTTATTCTAAGAAGAAAGGCAATAGGATGAATAAGTGCCAATGAGTGTCATATTTTGCCGCTTTCATGACGACATCAAATCCATTTGGATTTTGAACGGGGACAACAAAGAAGCACCAAAGAAGGGAGACAAAGGGTGGTGTGTGAAACTCGCACTCACAGCAGAGAAGGATGACATCATCAAGGCAACACTCAAACTAAAACTATTTGAGAAGGAGTCGGTGGGTTCAATTTTTCAATTGGTCTATGGGAAAATCAATGATCAGCATCTCAAATTGTTTGTTTGGTTGCATGCAAGAGACGTTCTCAAACTAGGTGACGGTGACGAGGTATTGAAACCGTTTGCTGATTTGTAGTGGAATCAATTGGAGATAAGTCAAAGATAATTTGAAATATATATTGAATAGCCTAGCTATACATGCGAACTGCCAAGAGAATTGATGCTGTTGCTAAACCCGTGAACAACAGACACTCTTTGTTGTCATTTTGTCACAGAATTCTTATTCCCAGGATACAAAGAGTGGCGAAAAGTGTTCATTGCAGCTTTAAGTGTGACATGAGAAAGTGCATCAAAGTGATCATCAATCATATATACCTTTCTTTGAGTTCCAAGCACGCCCCTTCTTGTATGTAGAAAAAAAATTTGCTTGGATTGATGTGTGGCAAGTATGTGCCACTGTGAATGGCAGCATAGCCCCAGCTGTTGGTGAAATGGGATCTTGATAGATAAAAGAACAGTCGAACATGTCGGACAGTGAAGTCGGACATTTGTGATATCGAACACGGACAGAAGTACGGTTCGAGTACGTACAGAGATGGATAAGTATTGAAGGTAGATCTACTCTGTGACTAGTTCGTGAAGAACATGTGCGTATGTGCTT